GAAAGTTGGTGGAATATTGCCCCATAAATATTCACCACAGTGTTGTGGCATGTAAGTTTGCAATCCCCGTTCATTTTTTTTGTCATGCCTAGCTTGCACAGGAGCTGCTGAGGGAGCACTGGAAGAGAAACAACCAAGAGCTGAGAAAGGTAGGCAAGTTTAAACTATTGATGCAAATGTGACAAGTTGCCGAGCCCCATACCTCAGACCTCGAGGTGTTACCACTGATGAAGTGTTTGACGGCTTCAGGAATCTAGTGACCACCCCATACGTCTAGAGAGTTCACCAAGTAGAGGAAACAGACACTTTTTGTCAAGACATCCATTTGATCTGGAAACCTATATGGCCTGTGATGCAGATATTCCATGACTTTCTGTTAACCTGATTCCAGTGTTGACTTAAGAAAAAGAAATGTTCTGGTATCCCTTCCACCCAGGGTCAAGGTTATCAGTATCTCTGTCTCAGCTTTGTCACAACTCACTCTTTCAATCTGTCTGCAGCTGGAGTCAGGATTACATAAAGATCACGTTGTCAGCCAATGGCAGGAGCAGATATCTGAGAAGAAACAGGTAGGTGGATCATTCCAGGCACCAGACAAAGTCAGTTATGTTCATTTCAGTGTTTTGATAACTTTGATAGCCAGTATTGAAGAAGTTGCTTCAGTGCTTCATAGTATAGCCGGTGTTGACACATATGACCCACAAGTCATTATCTTTTTATGTGGCCAAGTTTTGATGTAACACATCTATTTTTAATTGAACAGTGTTCGTGTACTCTGTGAGCACAGTATCACGGCCGCAACCTACTCTGGTCAGCCCCTCAAAGGTGGTGCATTATTAAGAAAGCTTTGACACTTACTGTAAGTGACCCAGCTTGTCAAACATGCAGAAAGAAGTGGCGTACCAGGAGGAGACGAGACGCTTTGAAAACGAGTACGAGAGGACCAGAAGAGAAGCTCTGGAGAGGATCAAACAAGCGGAGGAGAAAAGGAAAGACGAGGAGCGTAGGAGAGGGGAGGAGCTACGCAAGCAGATGGAAGAACTGAAGCTGAGAGAAGAAGAGGTATTCTGAGCATCAGCAAACAATTTCTTCTGTGCAAAACCACCTTTGCAGGCTTTTTTTTTTGTAAACAAGATTCTTTTTTATTTTTCTCTTACAGGCCACTCGTCTGAAAAAGGAGCAAGAGGCTCTACTGTTGCAGCAGTGGGAGCTGGAGAAGATAGAGGAGGACAGGTGGAAGGCGGAGGAACAGAGGAAGAAGTTTGAGATCGGGTATGTGAAGCTTATTCTCCAGATGACCAAACAAAAAGAGTGGTATGATATTTCAATCTACTGAGGTACTTTACATATGGGATTCATGTTGCACTAGGCGTTTCTTGATCCGTCAGTATCGAGCTCAGCTGAGAAGAAGAGCCCAGCAAGTGCAGGAAGAACTGGTAAATACTTTTTTTACCTGCAGATTTTACTGTGTGATCATCCTGATAACTTCCCCAGACCTTTTCTTTGATATCCTTTTTACAACACCAGGAGGCCGATCGTAAGATCCTGGCAGCCTTGCTTGAAGGAGAGGAGGAGGACAGGAGGCTGGAGACTGCAAGAAGGGAAAGAGCTGTCGCTGATGCAGCCTGGATGAAACGTGTGATTGAAGAGCAGCTGCAACTGGAGTGTGAGAGGGAAGCTGAGTTTGAAGTCTTACACAGGTGAGCGCCAAGATTTAGTAAGCCTCAACTCTCCAGAAAGGCGCACGTGCGGCTCTGTGAATACAAATCAATGCATCCCATTTGTTCGTAGGGAAGAAGCTCAGCATGTTTGGGAGAAACGAGAAGTTCAGTGGGAGAAAGAGAGGAAAGCCAGAGAACGGCTCATGCATGAGGTAAATTTCTCTTGGAGTAAAACTTGAAGTAAAGCTTAAAGATGTGAGTTCAAATAAAAGTTGTCCTGTTTTGGGTTTTTCCTGTCTTTTTTGATAAGGTGCTTGTGGAGAGACAGCAGCAGATAGAGCTGAAAATACAGAAGAACCGTGAGGCTCAGGAGGAATCTCTAAAGAGACGAGAAGAGCTTATCAAGGAGCTTGAGTGGGAGAGGAAATTCAGACGTCGGGAAAAGGAGCAAGAAGAGGGCCGAAGGACAGCGCGGATGCAAGAGATAAATGCTCAGGTTGGATACTTTTTATTTTGTTTTTTATGGGAGGGGGTTCTCAGGTTTATTTCCCCAACTATGCATTAACCTCCTAGGACCTGGCGTCCACATATGTGGACATCACATTTTGGGTTATTAAGACCAAAATACTCAATTTTGCTCTACAAGGGCCTTGATATCTACTTACGAGGACATTATACTGCTACTGTTCGATCGAAATTTTATACGAATATCCTCATTTGTGGCTCTCATTTTTCTTAGAAACAAAAAAAGGTAAAAAAAAAAAAATCTGGTAAATCTTTGTTTTTACATTCATCAGGTCCCAATCAGCCCAAATATCAAAGAGAAATTAAAATTGCATGCCATGAAAGAGTTTGGTCTTAGGAGATTAAATAAGAAATCATATGTGAAGTTGTTTGTTTTCATGTTATGTAGGTGGAGCAGCAACAAGAGGCGCAGTGGGAGGAGCGGTGTAGGAAAGAACAGGAGGAAGAGGAAGAACGGGAAGCCCTTCGAATCCAAGAAGAGGAGCTGAGGCTTGAGATGCAGAGGATCGCCAAGAAAGGATACCAGGACAAGGTGAAAGAAGAGTGAGGCAGCCGTATTCATGATTCCAAGCTTAAAATTGCTCTTTAATATTAAAATATGCTTGAAATCGTCTCTTTCAGATTCACAGCAGGCCACGATCAGCCTGGACATGAGAGACCTGCCAGACTGAAGTGAAGCCGAACATGAGCTGTTGTATTTTTTCTGTTAGGAATTAGCCTTAAAGGATATTTCATGCTTTTTAAAACAGCCCTATGAAGACTTAAAGGCCATTTGTCACAGTAATTACGCTGTTGGTCAACACTGAGCATGAAGCATTATGTGTTGTCAAATGATTTCAAAGTGACAGATGCACAAAGAAACTCTCCGTCCAAATTCAGGACAAAAACGTCCAATGTTAAAGTTAAAATAAAAGCTCTCACCCATTGCAGTCTTTGAACACATCCTGTGCAAGCAGGCCTGCAGTGGAATTTGACTTTTGTTGTACATTAGTGTTTTTTAACAGCCAAAAGAAAACTTTGTCCTTTGAAAGGATAAAACGTAAAAAAAGAAAAGAAAAGTAGGCCACATGTGCCTCCTGTCATGCCATATTGATTTAATTTCTATTTGTTGGACTCGAATCGATTCGTCTCTGCTCTTAGAGCTCTTGAATGTCTATAAATTTTCTATTCTGTGTGTATTAAAGCTGTTGCAATCAAATCATTTGAGCATTTTGTATTTACAAACCACAACCAGTTATAGTTATAAATTAAGTTTATTTAGAAAATAATTATTTCCCCAAAATGCACCTTCTGCTGCATCACGCATCCCTGCACTCCATGCAAGCACAGAGATGGACGTTACTTAGAACAGATTTCAGAAGGAAAATGAAATCTGCAACACCTGGCGATGTTGAACATTGGCTAGCACAGTATTACAGGATCCCATATGTTGCACATTACACACAAAACTAGCAGCAACAGAACGGAGCACAATACACATGGACATACATACAGTATGGTTACTAGCACTAAATATTAACACCAAGAGTGGCTGTAGTGTACAGTGCAATGGGTAGCCTATTAGAAACACACCAAATAATCCTAACTTGATGCAACAACATCTCGGTGCTGGTGAAGATGATAACTTGGCCCCTGAACAAGTGTTTCTTGCATTTATTGACTTGACAAATGGGCACACATAAATAGCTGCAGTAAGTGCACTGCAGACTGGATTACACTTGGGCAGGGAGCAGGTCATATTAATAACTTTTTTTTCCCCTCAGTGTAACAAACATTATCAGCATTGCGCTGAAACTGAAATGTGCGTAAAGTCTTCAACTTATGGAAGCTAACAAAACCGTACGCTCGTTTTTTTTTTCCTTTTTTCATATTAAAACTTTACAGTGTAGTGATGCTTAAACAGTGCAATATATTAGAGGAAGCTCCTTTTGCTACAAGAGTGTTTGTAATAGCATCCAATGATAACGATTTCATGGCTCATTTATGGTTTTTCAGCATCCATGCATGGCTTTGGTTTGATAACACTGACCAGTATATCGATTTACTGTGCTCTTTGTCCTAATGCAAGGCATTAACTCTTTAATGATATTTTGTAATTCTAATTATCAAAGACAGAACAAGCTATTTCCCCAGCATGTTAGCTGGAAAGTCATATCCCCCCCCATCAGAAAATGTGCTTCTACAAAAGCTGGCTAAGTTTCTGACTTTTCCCTTGACGCCAAGACTTTGTCTTTAAATATTGTCAATGCTTATTCATAAATAATTAAAAAACAAGGCATGCATATACCACATATACAAAAGACAAAAACAATAAAATAACTATAAATGCGTATAAAAACAAAACTGAGATGCTGACTTCTTTGCAGCCCTGTAAGTGCTGTTAGTTGGTATTTTCCTTTGTGGTGATGGTGACAAGCTGCTTGGCGGCCTTGGCAATGTCATAAGCACATTGGATGACCTGCTGGGTGACCAGCTGCATGTCCGGTCCTGGGCAGCCCTCCGAAGGCACCGCCTTCCGGCACTCGCCCTGGAGCCTGCACGCACTGGAGGTCAACAAGCGCAGAGAGCCTCTCACCGTCTCTGAACGCGGCTTCTGCAGAGGAAGATTAAATGATCTTAATAAACATAGAAAAAGTCTGCTCACAGGCCTCTTCAGAAATGGGGTGCAGTGTGCATCCAGGTGTCAAATAACAAACAATTAGCAGATCCATTCTTTGCAAGAAAAAATCTATTTACCTTAGGAAATAGGGCAGCCATTTCTGTTACAGCCACATGTATTCTTTCTGAGCAGGGTATGAAGCTGTGAGGTGAAAAGATTGAAGTCACAGTCAGAAAGTAAACTGAAAGTAACAAATACAATGGTTATAAAAGTGATACGAATGATCAATTAGCTAATCATCACTGCAATCAGGTTACTTCACAAAGTGGAGGTGCAATTTAGTTTTCAGAACACACCATGCACCATCATCATCGACAGATTACCTACAAAACATGCCATTTAAAAGACATTTTAAACCTTGTAAGTAAACAGCACTTTAATTCTACAGTAAAAAACGTCAAGATCAAAAACAAATATGCTGTCAGCTATAAGTCACTGCACAGATGCACCTTACCTTTTTTACCTAACTAAAGCAAAGTCAGTGCTTGAAGATAAAACATGAAATGAATTGATGTTTGAAACTCGGCATACTCAAGCATGCAGCACAATATGACAGAAAAAGAGACAGCTTGTTAGCAGGTGAGGCAGACCAGAAGAAGAAAGTGTCTGAGGGAGAGGAAAATAAAACTGTGCCTGGGAGGCAGGGACAGAAGCCAGAGTACCAGGAGGTGGGGTCGGGGGACCGGAGGCTGAGCGGCTGAAGGGGAGAGGGGGCCTTCTCAGCCCAGGGTACCAGAGTGCTGAAACATCCCAGGCTGTGCCTGAGCCGACGCACACCTTCACGCTCACATGGTCTGATGGCAGGAGTGATTGGTGGCGACACCAAAACAACATGATAACAGCGGAGCAGAGAGGAAGTAGAGTGAGGAGGAAGAGTGACAAGAGCAGGACAAAAAAAAGGGGGAAATGACAGGGCTTACATGGAACTAATTATAACAGAGTAGCTATGAATGTAGGAGGAACTTGAGATTTAAAATGAGAGCAAGGAAACGAAAGTTTAAAAAAAACACACATATATATATAAATCAGTTGCAGAACTGATAAAAAAACCCAAAAACCTTTCATCTCATTCTGACCTGTCATGTTTGTTCTCCTGAGCAGCTCGCAGCAACTCCTGGATATTCTTGGTGATCTGTTCGGTCTTGCGGATGACGTCCTCTGTGCTGGGAAGCGTGGGGTCAGAGTCCATCTCCAAATCATCAAGTTCAGGGATAGAGCTACCCTCCCCCAGCCAGCCACTGCTCCTCAGCCTCCCTCTCCTGCAGAACCTGCTAAGTGGGTGAAAAAAACCCCAAACAACAAATCAAGCCCCCTGCAAAAACCTGTTTTTTCCTATTGAACTGTACATGAAGACCACTTTGCCTCACTGACTTCTGGGTGATTTTCTTACCCCGAGTCATCCATCTCCGAGTCATTGAACGTGTTGTCATAGTCACTTTCTGGCATGCTGCTTTGCTTCTCCAATTTTGAAGCCTGGGAGGGAAGAAAGAACAATATGAGAGAGATCCAGTATTACTCACGGCAAAATCCAGCAGCAACTGTGGTGAAAATACATTTTCTTCATCTAAAAAGCAAAAACATAAGACTCATCTGTGTGCTGTGCCAACATGAAACTGCACAGCCACATCAAAGTGGAGTATAAACAAGTAAAGGTGATGCAGAGGACTGAATCAAACAAGCCAGTAAAGCTGTAAAGCAAAAGCACATCTACAGTTTAAAGATTTCACATTAGTAGAGCAGATTATGCTGAGATCATATCATTTATTTGCATTAGTATGACACTTGTTACCTTTCCTAATACCTTATGAAACCTCTTGAAATGCCAAAGCAAGGCTGGATTTACATGTGACATTTGAAAACAGCCACACAGAAAGCAACAACCCCTAAAACGTTACTTTACAAGTGCGGCACAAGCTTTTCTCCTCCAAAATAAAGACAAGTAAACCCCAGAGGGCCCACACTTGCATATGTGAAGTCAGAGCTCAGTGGTGCATGCCACACAACATAGGCACGCTATCTTCATACCATATAGGGTTTGCTGTGATCTGATAGCGTGACTTAACTTTATGCAAATTCACACTCAACGCTACATCTAAAAAAAAACAGGAAGTTCACTGTACTACACAACATGTTCATACTCTGACAGTCTGCGTTCAAGAGTCTGAGCAAAATCCTCTCTGTGCATGCAATACTAAATGCAGCACATTGTGGGATTATCTCATGCTTACATAAATTGTCCTCTTAGCAGATGATCAATCGCTTCACACTGCAAACCACTCACAGATTTCCACTGTTTGGTTGTCAGAGAAGTAAAAGCAAAGTAGCTAAGAGTTTGTAAGAAACAGGGCAGAAGGAAACTTTGTCTTATTCTTAGAGTATTTCAAATGAAAAAAAAGTCCAACTAAAACAATATATAATGTGCAATTTCTTTCCTTTGTCTTCACATAGTTTGCTAAAATACTTTAATATCATCTCATATACCAGTTTCTAGAACACAAAAAAAGCAGCGCTGCATGACAAGCACAGATTTCTGCTCAATGCTCAGCAGTGACGCAGAGGTTTTGCCTTTACAAAACCCCACAAATTCCATTTGTTTAGTAGGACAATGAGGATGATGCTGATGAAGGCAGGTATCTGGCGGTGAGGACAGCCGATGGAAGGATGGCTCATGCAGGGCAGATAAAGAGCAGGAGAACAGAGGATGAACGGGTAGAATTGGGCTCCGAGGGGATTTGCGGCGTCCCGCGAGACGCAGACCGAGTTAGGATGTACTTAACCTTTTGAGCACTGTCGTCCTTCGACCAACACAAGGTGGATGGAAATGAGGGAAGGGATGAAGAGGTGGTCACAAAAGCGCCCCTTTCCGTCTAAAGACAGGGTTCAAATCATAATGTAACACAGACACACACACACAGATTTCTTAAAATGAAAAGACCTGTTTATACGGACTTACAAAAAAAGCTGAATGGATATTAAAAAAAATACTGTGTATGGACTGGAGTCGATGCAAAGCTGTGCAAAGACCGTGAGCACTGAATTCAAAATAATAAAAGTCTTTCTTAGCTTAGGATAAATCAATAGTACAAAGACAATGCAATGGAGCTTAATCCTCCTATTTTTATTCCCTGAGCTCCACTGTTTCCTTTCGGTGTACAGTGCTTTAAAAAAACATATCACTGAATAGCCTGGAAACGAGCTGATAAAGGGAAAAAAATATCAGAAACTATAAGTCACAGGCTTGGATTAAAACCAAACAGAGCAGATGGACAGTTAAAGTGAGTGTGTGAATGTATGGTGCATTACAAAAACACAGAGTATTTGTATGGCAGTTTAATACTTTATCAACATAAAAAACACAGTACAAACCAACACAAACCATGACAGCATGTTTCTGCGTGTACAACTAAGTCTTGTCTAGCAAAAAAATAAAAAAGGCAGCACTCCCATTAACAACAGATGTTTGCAGATGTGTGTGTTATTAAACTGGACACATATTGCGATTGCTCTGGCTCTATCTAACATTGCATCGCATTGTGGTTTTTAATGAGTCAGTCTTTGGAGAAGCCAAAAATTAAAAAACAAAATAAAACGTGCGTAGTGGAAAATGAGTAAGGAGAGACACAAACACAGGCAGGGGAAAATGTCTGCAGACAGGATGAAGACATGAGGGACAGTCACTGAGTGGAAATGGCAAAGGAGAGCAGGGAACAGGTCTTACTTACATGAGTTGGGAAGGATTGAAGGGTGGGGATTCCCTCCTCTGAGTAAGGAGTTTCCCCTTTAGGGAGATAGGGCTTCAGGCCTGAGCCGGTCTCATACATAGACATGGGCCGACTGGCCCGTGCAGACTGCCGGCGTTTCAGGGCAGAGGGACTGGAGGGGTCAGGGTAGTCTGTACCGCTGGGGATCTGATAGATATTGGTAGTGACCTGCCGCCTGAGAGAGGTGTTCTCGCTTTGCAGAGATTGCAGCTGGAAGAGATGTCAGTAATACACTAAGAGGGGCGCTTAGCTTTAATGCCACTGTTTCTCTAGATTGCTATCTATTTAAATTTTGATAGATTGTTGCCGCTCCTACTGCCAAGGTTATAATTTGGCAGAAACCACCAATCTTTCCAGATACAGAGTTTGAAACATGTTCTTTTCTGGCACGTCACCAATATACAAAACCTGAAGCTGTTTTCACAACTATGAATGAATTATAAAAAAAAAAGTCCATAGCTATGGAATAGCTCGCTCAAAGCTCTGATAGATTTTCATCACAACACCCCTCCTATAGAAAAGTGTCTTGCTGAGTACCCTTCACTAATCATTACTAACCATTGCCATTCATATTCAAACAGCTTTAGATTCTGTTTACTTGACGACAGTATCCAGTAGTTAAGTATCTATAGTGCAGGGAAATTCAAATTCAAGGTCTCGTCTGAAACAGCATCAAAGGAATAACATGAATTTTGGTTTGGGTGGATTATTTTTGCCTATCAGTGCAAAGCTCAAGATAAGCAAGCAAAAGATCATTGTACAGGTAAGAAACACAGGTGCAGTTCAAGTCAAAGATTCAGCTGCAAGGAAAGGTTCGTGAACACTTTGGATTAACCATGATTGCTGCATGAAAAACTAATAAACATGGTCTGATCTTCTCCCAAGTTACAATTATAGACCAACACAATCTGACGAAACAAAAAAAAAACAAAAACAAAAAAAAAAAAACACTCCCTCCCAGTATAAGCAGGAAAAAGTAAGTGAACCTCTATGACACAGATTTCTCCAGAAGTACTTTAAGTCACGTGATCCAAGTCAGTCTATGAACAATATCTAGGAGGACTATAGAGGTTTAGGAGGACTAGAGGTGGACAAAGCTGGAAAATACTACTAAAGCATGGATGAAAAAACAATTTGGCTTAAATTAAACAGAAAAAGTATGGTGAAGAGAGCATCATGGTTTGGGAATGCTTTGCTGCCTGAGGGTCTGGAGGCTGAGGTTGAATGACTTAACAAGGCAATGGAGACAGACTAATTGAAAAAGAGGACAAGGTTTTTCAAGTTTTTGAAAAAGCTTCAACCTTTTCAGATGTTTGCTCTTCTTCTTGCACCTTGGGTGAAGTTGTCTCAGAAACCTTTACCCTGTTTCCCCACCTCTTTCAAAGATCACGTGAGAATCTGACTTAACCCAGATAAGATGTTGTAGCACAGCCCAATGCAGGCTGTTCTTCCAGAAATCCTGATGAACTTCCGAAGAAACTGTCCAAAATTCCTCAATGTTGTGCAAATCTCATAAGAAGCTACAGGAAACACCCGCTAGAAACTATGGTTGGTAAAGGAAGTTCAATAACATTAAAGAGTTCACTTATTCCCCCCCAAACCTGAAGTAAGTGCTAACTCGGTGTCAACGAAAAATACAACAGTTTGTGTATTTTTGTTGCATTTGTGGAGAGTCATTGTGTTGGTCTATACCTGTGACTGAGATCATTATTGGACCACATTTTATAGCTTAACCAATGCAGAAATCCAAAGCTTTCCACGGTTCTTCTTCCAGGTTTACAGCACTAACAGACTGACTCAGGAATTATAAAGGGATTCAGGGATGCTCTAAACATCAAGATTTGATCAAGAATACACTGGCCTTAAATACTACAACTACTTTAAAACTGTGATGAAGATTAATAGCGATAAAGCTAAAGATTGTGCTTATGTGATCATGAACTGATATTTAAATATAAAAAGCTAACAAAATAAGAAACATTTGTACTTTTGAAACTACAAGGTACAACCACAGTAAGCCAAGAAAAGCCACAGTGCTGCACGTTTTCTCCACTACATCTTTATCTAAATGATGCTGTGTGCTACAGTTTACTGCAGGGGGAGAAACAACAGCAGACTGAGTGCAGTTACGTGAATGCTCTAGATGCTCTTCATCAGCTCTAAAAGTAAAACGACAACATTGTAACATCACTGTTACTTTACCCTGGGTAAACTTTATACCAGGTTTACTTTACCAAATAAGTATATAGTAACTTAATAACTTCCAATTTGGTTTCGTTTTAGCAAGCTAAAACTGTATAAATCTCAAATGTCTCCCATTAAATCATCAGTTGAGTTTAACAGTATAAGGTGAGGTGTTCTGTGAAAAATAGCCAAACAAAAAGTCCACATGTGCTAAAGTATGTTCCCCCAAACAGCTGGAAATCATCCAAAAACATTCATTGCAGTAAACACAGTATATATGACAAAGCAAGGCACACACATACAATTTCAGTTAGTCACTGTGTGTTATCAAAGGGATTCAAAACAAAACAAAACAAAACAAAAAAAAACACCATCATCAATTATATCATGCTTTTTCTTCAAACATGCTTGTTAGTAACATTAGACCGGCTTTAACTTTAATTTATAAATTAGGTGGGAAAAGTGACCTTGGTGTTAAACCAAAACACACACACACACAAAAAAGGGAAAAAAAACAAAACAGAAATCTCTGGTTTACATTCAGACTCTGAAAATTGAACATGCTGGCCATAACAGAGGGTGGACCAGCAGGGTGTCACAGCAGCCTTATCGTACCACAGAGCATTCCTATTCAGGTGGTTCGGCCGTGATTGCTAAACACAGGCTGGGCCTCCACACCAGAGAGCGTTCGCACTGTGCAGGAGAAGTGCTCTGCTGACCGCTGTGCCCCCGCCCCTTCTAGTCCGGCCCTCGATGTTAGTGATCTTACGGGTGGAGCGCGGTGGGTACCTTTTTCTGCATGAGCCTTAGCTCATCGCTCAGACTGTTGTTTGCTTTCATGAGTTGCTGGATCTTTGCTTCAGAGGCAGAGAGGGCGGTTTTCACCTCCAGGTATTCTTGCATAGTGATGGGTCCGTCTGAGAGGTCCGAGTCCAGGCTCTGTTAAAGACATGCCAAACAAAACAAAGAGGTGAATGATGCAAAAGAGATTTCATTCAGGGTTTTAGTTTGTGAAAATACTGTCTGGGTACCTTGGTCCTGTCTCCTTTGCTTGATGGGAGTTCTTGATCTGTATCCTCATCAGATGCCACACTATCATAGTCAGGCTGGTCATTGTCCTGGCTATCACTACAGTGTCTGACGGCCACGTTCTTCATGATAAGTTCAACGTTGTCTAGGACAAACAAGAAAAAAAACCAACTTGTTTTGTTACTCTGTATCTTCATGAGACTCGGGTGTCGGGGGGATTTTTGAAGAAAGTAACAAGAAGACACCGACCTTTGGGACTGACTATCGGATTCCCTTGCTGTCTGCGCTTTGCTTCACTTAATATGTCAATGACCAAAGTTGCAAATTCATGTGCATTAAATCTTGCAAGCTTTTGCCGCCCCTAAATAACACACAGAAAGAAAGAAAAAAAACCACAAAGAAATTACACAAACAATGCACAACCTTTAAGGTAACAACAGAGAGAAAACCAACACAACCACGTTTGCAGGGGTGTTCTGCACAGCTGACTTGCCTGGTTTCGTGTCGATGAATACTCCGGATTCACAGGAAGGAAAGGAACCACAGTTGTCTCTGTGACCAGCGTGCTGTGATTCTGTGTTGCCAACCACACTGCAGAGAATGAGCAGAGTGCTGTTTAAGGCACGAGTACAGCTGCAATGCTAGTGGAGGTGTTGAAGAGTGCGTGTGAATACCACTATAGATGCATTTGAGTCCTCTGGTAAGGGGTAAAACTCTACCTGCATCAGTCTCTCGCCTGTCCACTTCATCATACACGTCCATGGCCAGCTCCTCAAATAAATGATTACTGAGCTACATTAAATAGAAAAGAAAGAAAAATCACACCTGAGCAAACTTCAGGGGAGAATATTTTAAATGAAACACAGTGAAAACACTTACAGACTGCAGTTTCTTTTTCGCTGCCTTTGCAAGTTCCGATAAATCTGCACTGCTGCAAACAGAAAATTGTGTTTGTGAACATTTGTTAATAAATTCGTAGGTCTGTAGGTCTATTGCTACTATAATGCAGTTTATTTTCAGTAATACTTACATGTTCCTGATCCCAATAAATGAAAGCAGTTAAAACAGATCGCATGTGTCATTTGCCGTGCAAAAGTATTTTTCTGCTCTTTTTCTGCTTTGAAATTAGAGCTAATAATGAAAACTTCCCTCACTCTGTTTAAAAGACTGCAGCAAGCTTAACTTCATGTCAGAACAAGACTCACAACTAAAACAACCATCACTAAATGCCTCACTGCATTCACTCTGCTGGCTCAGTTCAACTTAAACTCATTCACCCAGGCGCATGTTAATTGGTAGACATGCATCATACTGACGTACAGCTTCTGCTTTCTTACCTGTCGGCCATTTGTGGAACGATGAAGTGCTGGCCGCTTTTATGATCTGAAAGGAACAACGCGAAAGTTCTGGATAAGTGCCAAAATCCTTCGGGGCAATTACAGGAAATGTATTCACTTTCTGTTAATCACCATTTAAAATCTGTATTTAGCTCATAAGCAAATTTGATCAGCTGTAGAGCCACATCACTAAAACACCTACAGCACTGTGCAAAAGTCCCGGTCTATGCTGGATTGTTTCACATTTCTTGAGGATATGACTTTTAGATACTGTTCGTCTGCTGTTTTTAGGTCTCCCACTTCTTCTTTTGCCCTCCACTAGTCCAGTTTTCTCAAAATTATTAAGTCCACACTGCACAGCATGCTCGGATATGCCAAGCTTTCAGCCAGAAGCTCTTAGAATCACTTTGTTGGTGCAAAAATACTATTTTATTTTTACAAAAACATCAAGAGTTCTTGCACATTACTGCTCACCCAGCAGCAGCAAATGCTGCTTTTTCAGCTTTTTAAAAATTTTTTATTTTAAATGACACATCTCCGCTTACCTGGTTTTCGTCCACACAAGTAAAACGCCAGTCGATCGGTTAGTTCATACTGAATTTCCACCAGCCTGTCTGCCAGGTCGTTGTGGCCAGCTTCTCTACAAAACCATATTTAAAAAGTCAAATTAAGCTTAATATTTTGTCTTATATATAAATAATTATTTTACATAATAAACACGTAGGCTTGCCTTGCACAGTCAATGGGAGTTTTGCCTCTGCTGTCTGGAGCACCAGGATCTGCCCCATAAACGGTCAACAGTTCAACCTGAGATACTTGCCCAGCCTTTGCAGCTACATGCAAAGGAGTGCTTCCCTTTTCCTGCCCAAGACAATGATCAACATAAAAAAAGCCAGAACATGAGCCAGAATTTGACAGAAAAAAAAAAAACACATGCAAAAACACGGAAATGATACTTTTAAATACAGAAGGTCTTACAGGATGAAAGAAATTTGCTTGAGCTCCGAGTGTCAGCAGCCTCAAACAAGTCTCCAGATTACCAGTGCGTACGCTTGAGTGAAGTTGCTGGGGGGAAAAAAAAGAAATAAACAAATTTAACTGTGACTTTAAAAAGCACAACAATAGAGCTCTGTTCAAAAACATGCTTCCTTTCTTTCCCTGGTGGATCACTGCACCCAACCATTTCTCCTCACCTTGCTTAAATCCTTGGCTGTTGAGCTGTCATCCTCTCGGCAAGGTATGCGATGGACAAACACCAGCATTTGATATTTGGCTCTTATAAACTCTGATTTGTTTGGACTTTTGGGATGCCATGAAACAGACACACACACACACACACACACACACAAAAGACATTGAGAGACTATGAATGAGAAAGCAGCAAGAGAGTCCATTGTCATTTTTTTATTAAAAAACAAAAAAGTACTCCATAATCATTTCCAAACATTTATGACTCACTGGAGTTTGTCCTGAGGGTTGGCCTTGCGTTTTCCACTCGTCACAGACGCAGGGTCCAGAAGGGAGTGCTCCCAAATTGAATTCGCACCGTTGTTGTATAATGTCTGAACCATCTAGGTTAGATTAAAAAGGAAAGCATCGTGTATAATTTGTCATATTGATTTAGACCTTCAAATGGTGAGGGGAAAATAAATAAATAAATAAATAAATAAATAAATAAATCCCCTTCCTGTGCTGCACTTGCTATATTTGGACAAAAATCAATACACCTCAGGGGATCTGCTGCACTTGATGTCATACAGCTCTACTGAATTTAAAACTGAAGTAATACTAACCCAAACCCAAGTATAACATGTTCTAATGGCTTTAGTTCAGCATCTAAGCACAGAAACTACAAGTAAGACAAGTTCACAGCCAACAGAATAAATATGCATGCAACAGCTGAATGATCAAAATATTTCTGTTGAGGATTATTTACCTGCAGCTGCGTAGGGGGCCATGGCGTGTGCGTCAGGTGGCGCACTTGGGAGCTGTGTCTGCCCAGGCTCCGATGTACACTGCAGCACTCGTCGCAGATCAACACGCCTCTGTTCACCGAGGCCCAGCGAGGTTCTGAGCGAGAACAGAAAACAACCAGGTCACAATTATGATAGATAAATTGTGCACTTAGAGTATAATCTTGGAGTTCGAGCAGTTCACTGGTTTTACTTTGATCAAGCCGAGGAAGTTAATCTTTCTTTCTCTTTTTATCATATTCAAATCAACTCAGTGCTTCTCTTTTGACAACAAGCTGGACCCAAAGAGTCTCCTGTTACCGCTGTTGTAAGATGACTACTACAGGCAGGTGCTTACTTGGTAATAATTATGATATTTTGCTTTTTTGTCCAAGGAAAAAACATCATTTGATAGTTCTTACTCACAAGTACTGCTAATTTACCCAAAGTTTAATACAGTTTATTCTTCTGTGCCATAGGACTCTTGAAAATTATAGCCAAGCCACAGTGATATCAGTACTTCACACACACCATTACGCACCTACAAAAATGAGCTCTCAAATGTTTAGAGGCACAGAAGTAACCGTTTTGCATGGATCCTTCATAATTCTGACAGATTTAGCTGGATTGGGCTTAAGACAACTATCTTTTAGGTTCCTAGCACCCTAAAAAGAGTTGTGATTTCATGACAGAAAGGGATAATATCGGAGTTTCGAGACAACATAAGAATTTCAGTTGGGCCAAAGATCCCACAGAATGAAATAATCGACAGAATCTGATTGTTTTGATAGTGTAAATAGTCCCCATATGTATAAGGTATTTAGTTTTTGATTGCTATGGCATGATTTTATGAGTTAAAGCATATTATTTTGAGGACCCCTTAGCACAAAGCTGTCCCCAGACCCGCTCTGAGAAAACAAACATATAGTTATCTATAGCTGAGAAAGGTCCCTGAAAAATATGCTGTTTAATCCTGCTCAAGTGGCATTCGCTGAAAACTAGTGTCCTGCTGGAAGAAATAGCTGAGGCTTTTCAAAATAGTTATTTCATATATTTTATTTAAAAAAAAAAATCTTCATTGGCTTTCAACACATGGGATTAACAAAATGTTGGTGTTGGAGTTTTCATTAAATTTCTGGACACTAGATCACAATGTATTATATGTCATATAATTAAACATAATAATATCACAAGATGCTGAGTGGATGCTTTAAGATCTAATGAAGAAAAACACAATCCAAGAAAGAAAGAAAAGAAAAAGCCAAACTCAAAACAGGCTGTGAAAAAGGTCATATTCATAGTCATGTATCGCCTTTCTGACTGCAGATTTAGGTGAAGCTATGGGTTGCGTAAAAAGGAAGTGAAGACTAACAGAGCAGCTTCCTCTTTCAAAGCACTATAAAGAAAATACCTGAAGAACTAATAATCTTAGAACTGAGCTGCAATATTAACCTAATGTGTGGTGTTTTTTGCCCTATGAATTAAAAGTGTACTATGACTCTGTGACCAAAATAAATGTGTTTACTTAACCTTGGCCTGTTTTGCACGGTTCATGCAGTGCAAAAGTCACAGAGTTGTCTTCCATCTGTGCACAGACTCTTCTTGACAGCAAACTTCAAGACTAGAAACACTGTAAAATGATACAACACTAAAGCCCACTGAGTTTCAAGCAGATAGAGTGACGGGACAGGCGCTGTAAAAATCCCAACAGCAGCTGCAGTGCAAGAGCAACAGATGCAGGAGGTCGCTGGACAGATTGTGGCTCCTGGTCCCCGAGTTTTCAGAATCTCCTTCTAACAACTGTCCCTCAGGACCTCCCGAGTCTCAGTGCTCTCCTCAGCACGTGCTGCTAAATTTAATACCACATCTTGAAACGCTAAAAATATTCACACCCAACAACTGGTAGCAGCCATAAAGTGGGGCAATCCAGGGCAGCTGCTGAGGAGAGCTCAGGGTTAACTAATGACATGAGTGACATGATGACAGACGAGCTTCTTAATATTTGCGTTCCGCTGAATGATGCAAAACAAACCGATGGATGCAAAACAAACCGATGTATTTTCTATTATTAGACTTTGCTTAATTTACAGTGCATTATGTCGCCACAAGAAGAAGAAAAATAAAATCTCTCCTGCATTGAGTATGCGGTCAATTCACTCAGCATCCTGTTTTGCTTCCTGTGCCTGCTGAACAGCATCACGTCATTTCTATACAAGTGGAACTTCTGTAAGTACAGCCTCGGACACAATACAACAATTGTATGCTCAGCTCTCAGAGCTTGGTGCCATTGGTCCCGAAAAACAAAGCTCTGTTAGAGAGTGCTCGTGTACCCTGATGCCATATAAGTAGTTATAGCACTATTTTTTTTTACTCTATACAAGTGACTGGTTACAGATGACACGGACTGCAGATTTGGGTTAATGATGCAACGACTTTTTTAAATAATCAAATCTTTATGAATACAGTAGGAAATACAATACAGTCATTACTCATTAACACCTTTAGTTCAGCTGAGTTCCATCGTGCCAGAAGACCACTGTTATGCCCCCTTTTTTATTGCACTTTACTCATGAGAAACAGTTAATCCCAGCAGTTGAAAGTTAATTTTATAACGGGCATATAAAAGGGACATATCATATAATTATAATAGGGTTTTGGTTGGTTATTAAACCAAACGGCACCCTAAAAACTCCTTTCATGAAGGGAGCTATGGCGTTAGACATGAATACTAACTAGGTAAACTGGATACCCTAAATTACTGTAAAGAGAAACCAAAGTGTTGCCAGCGCTGCTAATCGGATTTATTTGGATTTGGGGTGTTTCTTAAGCACCAAATGTCAGCTAACAGACAAACACTGCATAGATGGTGTGAGTTTTACTTACCTGGGACACAGCAATCTGCGCAGACCTCAGTGTTTCGCAGGCGTTTAGACATCCTCAACTCGGGAAGAAACGCCTTTTAAAACTGAGTAGAGGAAATTGTGTCCGTTATGCTAACCATTGATTACTCCGTTAAGATGCCTTCCGCGTTAGCTAAACCCAGCAAATTAAAAACAATCCAACAACTAACTATCGTACTTACTTCCTTTTAACCGTTGCGAGCCTTTTCGTTTTTTGCTAGAGTTGGAGTTATGACCATGATAACATTTCCTCCCGCTACAACGCCGCTCGTCTGCAAGTGAGCTGACTGAGCAGCCACCTGATTAGCTAACTAGCCTGTGCACACTTGGTAGTTTACTCCTCTGCCTCTAGACAGCAGCATTTAGCGCTAGCGCGATCCCAGAGGCAGTTGTGACTGTGACCTATAATTGTGGTTTACTTTGCCCATAGTTTTGACTCTCAGGAAATAAACCTCTCAAAATAATACGAATAAGTCCTGCTTGAAATTTGTTCCGATTCTCTAATTTTATAGCTACGGGTAAACATGAAATATGAATACAACACAATACTTGTGGAGCTCGTTTTTGTCGGTACACAACCTGACAAATTAAAATCAGGGTTTTAATTTTCCCTAAAAGAGGTGAGTTTGATCTACTCACCTTGGAGTACACTGTAGTATTTTTTATGTCTTAAATTAATCTCCATACATGTTCACCTACCGACAGCCTTTTAAATCGCGCTTTGTACATCTTTAACACTGATGCAATTTTAGATTAAAAAAACAAAAACGGCAAGTGACCAACCCAGATAAAAGACGTGAAAACAGTCATGTGTATTAAATCATGTATTAAAATTTGACTGCGTAGAGCAGAAAAAGGCACCGAACGTAACTGAGACAGATGAGTTTTTAATTAATATTGATTTGTGAAGTTTAAAACAATAAGCCGGATACATACAACGTTATATACTATCTTTAAATTTAGCAGGCGTAGTTATGTACATTATAGTACAGGAGATATGATTCTGTTCTGATTGATTTAATATGTCGCTTGTCTCTTTGAGATTGTCATTGTTATTGTTCTAAATAAAGTTCATTTTAAAAAAAAGTTATGTACATTATAACCTGGCGGTACAGATTTAGATTTTTAACCCGCATCCACCCCCTCTCTCAAAACGTAATATTGCCAATCCCATTTCAATGTTATAGGGCATAATAGGACAATTAACTTTCTGGGAATTTACATGGTTTGTTTAGCTAATGTCTGCACGATATAGCAGCGCTACATTTCAAGAATTCAAAATATGGGAACCAAAGTTAGACAATATAGAAATCACTTTATTTAGTCATAGTACTAACAATGAAGGTTCTGCAACCCCCACGTCGACATGCTAAATGGTTGATTCCAGACTGGGACTGTCTATTATTTTTTTAAGGCGATGATTTTAACTACGAGTGCTGTTTCATTTGGTTTTAGCCTAAATGATTTTTTGTAAACCGTATATAAGGTGTTCCTTTAAAATTGACCATTAGGTTACCTTAATCAGGCGATATTTAATGGACTGCGAGTCTGTTTCTTTATAGAACACCCCTGTCGTTGCTGGGAACTACTCCTGGCACTTCCTTGTTCAAAAGTTTTATTTAGGGGAAGGCTTGGGGGGGGAAAGTTGGTCACCGGATTGGTTATTCCTTCGACGCTGCTGTCAGACATTAAAGGCATGGATCAAAGCTTTTTGGCGTAACTACTGTGGCTGTCCCAGCTTTTCTCATGGCTCCAGTTGTTAGAGGGTGGCTAACGTTGCACTGAAAGAAAGAGGAAGATGTCCATGGCTAACATTAGCGAAGACATCAGGGTGAAGTTTCCCCTACATTCCGCAGTGTGGGAGAATGACTACAGGAAGCTGGAGCAGCTATTAACATCAACGCAGGTTGGTTAAAACCACTGGCGAGGTTGGTAACCTTGGCACCGATACTCAGCTAGCCGGACTAAGCCAGGAGTGAGCTGCTGAATTTCCGCAGGCAGGCAGTTAAAGAAGGCCAGTGGTGTTTACAGATGCTCCGCAGGCAGCCACATACACATGACACTGAGTAGCGCAGCTTTTTACGCATCTATAAGTTTGAAAGCTTTAAAAGACAAAAAAACCAAAAGTCTTCCGGTACAGACTGGTAGCTTGTTTCCAGTTAAAATGTAAGCTTCTGTCCCATTTCACTGGATTCCTCAAATACACTGATTAACAGACAGCAGTACGTGTTTTATCACTCGCATGCATAGATTTGTTGTTTATTTTTGCACTACCTACAGTAACTCGGCATTGCTATTTAGCTTCAAAATGGAGAGATCCAGTAGCTCAAACAATAAGAAGTGTTAGGGATGGGTATTGATAAGAGTTTATTGATGCAAATGCCATTATTGATTTTCTTTATAGGTCAGATTGGTTTTTACTGTCAACTCAGTTTCATTTTCACTGCTTGGACAAAGTGTAGGGGGAAATAAGCTTGCATGTGACTCAGGTGTGTAAAAAGTGCCGCTATCACGAGTCTGGTGTCACTGTTGTGCAATCTGCAACTTTTGGAAAAACATGCCATGTGTCGTGAAAAGATTCGATGTTTTGGGGGGTTTATGATAATCCGATGAATAGTATAAGCTCTAGATTCCCATCCCTACGCCGATAATTACCTCAATACGTGCTTGAGAGTGTATTTTATTTACTTAAAATGGACAATGCAGTTTGACATAGTTCCAGTACAGAGCATGAAACTGATGTGCCGCACAAAGAGTTTATAGCTGTTCCTAATTTTCAGCCCCTGTTGGGCTTAATACATCCAAACTATACAATTATTATGATTCCTCTGTACTGACTCCAGCAGTTTTATATCATTGTTAGCCATGACCAAATTGCATGTTGTTGACTGCACTGGTTATAGTAATCGCTTGGAGGTTGTTATGTCAGCTCGGTAGTATTTAATCTAAACAGGCACCTTATTATTTTTCAGAATGACATCGAGGCTGTGGATCCCAGAGGCCGAACACCTCTGCACCTGGCTGTATCACTCGGGCACCTGGAGTCAGTGAGAATCCTGCTGAGACATGGCGGTCAAGTGACTAAAGAAAATGCCAATAATTGGACAGGTTTGTTACGAAGCTAGCTACATAACAGACAAGGAGGGCTAGGATTTGGATTGGTTTGTTGGTTGATTTTCAATCCCTGCTGTCTATAACTCTACCCGTCATCTGCTGTTGATGAGGTTTCTTGTAAATATACTTATCCAAGAATATCAACTCCTACCACAGCAGTAAAATGGTTTCTTTGGTCTTTAATTTCATTGCTGAGGTTTTTAATGGTTAATCGTTTCTCAGGAAACGGATGCTGTTGCATTAAAAGGTTTAGTGGTTTGTTTCTGCTTGACTTTCTATGGGCAGTGCTGCAGGAAGCAGTCAGCACAGGAGATCCAGAGATGGTTCAGTTAGTGCTTCAACGCAGAGACTACCTCAAAGCCTCCACTGCCCTGGGAGGAGTGCCTGAGCTGCTGTCAAAGATCCGAGTGGTGTGACTTCATATATTTTTGCCTTTTGCTTGTCATCATTTGTAAGTGTGCCTGGAAACATTTATAACATTTCTTTTGCTCTTTCTAGTCTCCAGACTTCTATATGGAGATGAAATGGGAATTCACCAGTTGGAGTAAGTTCTTTTTTTTTTTTTTTTTTTTTTTTTTGTGAGTGGAAATATTTTTTTTTTTAAGTAGATTTTTAAAGTAGACAAGTGTATAAATAGTATTATGTTCATGCAAAAACAGCTAGTTTATCAGAAATCCAGTATGCAAAATAGGGATGGTTTCAAAAGTTGTTGTTTTTTTTTTATTTAAGGCAGCAGTCTATTTTTAAAGATTGACACTTTTCCTGTGCGGCTTCATCAGGTCACACAGGAAAAACGACATACCTGCCTGATGGCAGGTGAAGTATTTGTTTGCTTAAGTGGTGTTTTTCACGTATGGATGCTTTTTGTTTCTGTATCCTGTTGTTTCGCAGTTCCTCTCGTGTCCCGGGTTTGTCCGAGTGATGTTTGCCGCATCTGGAAAAGCGGCGCCTCGCTGCGAGTGGATGTTACTCTTCTAGGCTTTGAGAACATGACCTGGATCAGAGGGCGTAGAAGCTACATCTTCAGAGGAGATGGCATGTGTTTACACTCCCTCACACAGACGAGTTTTCTTTGCTGCTGTTTTGACTAAAAGGGTCTAAGCGACTCCCTGTCTGCGTGTCTGCAGATTCATTTGCAGAGCTGATGGAGGTGAACCATGATGATGAAGTCGTGGACATCGAACGCTTCAACATATCCCAAGAAATGGAGGATGTGACGTTAGAGTCAATGCAGCCAGCTGAGCAGGAAGTTGCAAAAAGGTTGACGACTCCTATTGTCAACACCTACTTGGACACAAAGGATATTGCTTTTGAGAGGTAAGCGGCATTTATTCCTCCTTGTTCCTGTTTTTCCTCATGTCAGGAAAGGATCTAAATTTGTTTGATAAGCTGCGACAGAACTCCAAAGCTATGCTACTTCACGAGAGTTTGCTTCTCATGGCATCTTGTTTCAGTGGAATTACTGCCTGAGCCAGGTTACTGTGTAACCCATTAGAGTTCATGATCACCACCTCTGATCTATGGATGACATTTCCAGTAGTATAAGATAATAAATATTTTGAGGCCTTACATGGAATATTCTTAAATTTTTCAAAATTAACACGTCAAACCAGAATCTAACATGTTAAAATAGCAGGGTAGATGATTCTCTATTATACAGTATATTGAGTTATTATGGAATTTTTACATGAGATATTCAAGCTTTTTCTTGTCTGTCCTTCTGGAAACTGTAGCATCTAAATGCAATATTTATATTTAGTACTTTTTTTTTTTTGTTGTTGTTTATTCAACATCCAGCTAGAGGACATGTTATCACAATGATGATGACGACACAGGAGACAGACGGCATCTTACTTCAGCTATCCTTACATTAGTAGTTGCTGTTGCACTGTTGGATTGTGAATGTATTTGAATCTAAAGAACAACGATGAATCTCTTCTATTATGATGTTTTATGTTTTCTGGATATATACCAGTCTTTTGTTTTGTGTTTTTCCTACAGGACTAAGTCTGGCATTTGGGGCTGGAGAGCTGATAAAACTGAAGTAGTCAATGGATTTGAAGCGAAGGTATAGAGAAGTTATAAATCAAACCAGAATGTGTTTATAAAATGTGCTGGTTTTATTACCTGACATTGTATTTTTGTCATTTTCTCAGGTTTTCAGTGTGAACAATGTAAATGTGGTAATCAGGACACGGACGGAGCATCTTACAGACGAGGAGAAAGCCAGGATAAAAAGTACAGTT